GGAGCAACTGAAGAGGCGTTAGGAGTATCCACTGCACTGGTATGATGTGCACGTGGATTAAACCCGCGTCCTCGAGGTCGTCCAGAGCGACCCCCGTGACTACCAGAACGGTTACCACGACCATCAGAAGGAACCCCATGAAGCTTCCAACAAGTCTTACGGGTATGTCTCGGCGGGCGGCAATAATCACAGAACAGTGTATCCTTCTCTGAAGGACTAGGGGAAGTAAGAGGCAAACCAGTACCATCCCTAGGAGAAGCAGAAAGTAAGGCTGAGCGCTCTGTAGAGGTAGGTGGCAGCATAGTAGAATGACGACTCTCCTCAATCTATACATAAGCAAAGGCCTAATAAAGGGAGAGAAGAACATCCATACCAAGGATACGACTTCTAACAGGATCAAACTGTAAGTTGATACCTTTTAAAAATTTAAAACCGTCACTTGTTCAATAAACTTTTGGTAACCCACTGAATCAGTTGTGCAAACAGGCTTATAATCCTGCAGATGATCAAGACGTTTCCAGCCATTGTTAAGAAAAGTAAAGCATTGAAGGACGGTAATCTCCCCCTGTACTGAGCGCTCAATAGAACGACGGAACTCAAAAGTTTGTGAGAAGTTCCCTTTCCGGGAATAAGTAGTGGCCACAGTATCCCAAATATTCTGGGCGGCATCCATAGACAGGTAGCCTTCCCCTATATCAGGTACTATGGAATGAATGAGCTATTCCATAATTAAAGAATTGGTAATCTCCCATTGGTCATAACCAGGATCAGTAATGCCTGGTGCCATGATCCTCCCATCAACGTAACCCATTTTCCCTCTACTCGTCAAGAAAAGTGTCAAACACTGTGACTAAGCAAAGATAGTTTTGACCATTAAATAAAGAGGTGGTGATTTTTAGGCTAGGGTTTAGGTTTTCGGATGTAGTAGTCATATTGGTACTCTAGGTGGCTGAGAAGTGGTGGATTCGCTAGTAAGGTCAGGCATTTATACTCTACAAACCGAATAGCAACCTGCACTATTCACAAATACTTGAAGAGGGAATAAAATCAACTTGACCAAGCAATATCAATTATAGACCATTATAGGAACATACCAATCAGTCAAAGTTGAGTAATGGGGCCATGTAATGACCCAAAAAATAAATAAACTAAATAGAAAAAGAACCTCCAATCAAAATAAGGGCTAAGCTATTCTCAAATAAGGCAAAAACTTGCTAAACTGGAGGAACAGTTGTGGAGATGAACCAATCAAAACATGCAGTGGGTCAAAGAAGCCTCAGAGTGGCTGTCGGCTGTAGCCGAAATAGGCTGGGAGCTTTCGGCTTGGGCCATGACAGGCTAAGGAGCTTTCGGCTTGAGCCGAACAACAAACAGGGACTGTTGGCTGGTCCTGGGTGCTCACCAGTGAGTATCACAGGCCTTGGACAGATCTGAAAGGATCAAAACATAGAGGGCAGCAGTTAGGTGGTGATGGGTGAAGGTGGAGAATGAGATGGTAACCCTAAAGCTCCGATACAATGTTTGTTTGAGAGAAAAAAAAAACTTAGGGAATAATTAGACAATTATTCCCTTTTATATTGATAATTGGTAGCTTACAATGGAAGCCTTGGAGACACAAATAAGAAAATAATTGAATAAGGAAATAACAGCTAATAGAATAATCAATATACAATAACCAAAGATATTATTCTAACACTTGGTGGACTGGAAGGCGATGTGCCTGTCTCGGTTTAAGGGTGGCTTGGGTATTAGAAAGCTGGAGTTATTTAACAAGACTTTGTTGGGTAAATGGTTGTGGCACTATGAAGCACAGGTACGAGTACGGATACTGATACGATATGGGTACGTCGATATGGTAAAATCCTAAAAAAAATAGGGTAAGGGTATGGATACGGGTACGGCTTGGTACGCTTGTAAAAAAAATATTTATTTTTAATTTAGAGTAATGCAAAAATTAATTGAATGGTTTAATTTGTTAAGGTCCAATCTATAATTAACATTTAATGCCAAAAGGAAAAGTATAAATCAAAATTAAATGTCAATATATTAAATAACTTACAAACCATAGTTTAATTTTAAAATCATGCTAAGCATAAAACAAAAACTAAAAAAGAAATTTAGTAAAATGAGTTTTATCTCTGTAGTAGAAGGAAAACATTATTTCAACTGAGGCACGGTACGGTTTGGATATGTACTAGGTACGTCTAGGTACATCAAAAATTAAGAAGAAAAAACTTGGGTACGTGTTTCTGGTACCTGGTACATATGTAGAAGTACCATACGAGGTACGGTACGGTACGCCGGTAAGTACCCGGTACGGGTACGGCATGTTTTTCGAAGTATCCATGCTTCATAGTTGTGGCACTTTGCTTGGGAAAGGGAGAGTCTGTGGAGAAACGTGGTTGATGTTAAATACATAATTAGGGATTAGTTTACAACTCGAATTAGGGGTTCTCATGGATTGGGTATGGGGAAGAACATAATGAGGGTCAAGAATGATTTGTTCCCTCTTGCTTGTTGTAGGTGGTGGGAACATAGTTTAGTTTTGGCATGATTCTTAGTGTGGGCGGGGGCTTTTGTGGGAGATTTTCCTAGGTCTTCATATTTTGGCTACCGACCAAGAGGTTTGGATGATTGGGAAGTGGAGTTTGTTGAGGCTTTTTTCAAAATCCTACGGGATAATCAAGTTTGAGTTTGGGTAGAGGATGAGCTAGTTTGGAATGGTTCTAGGAATGTGTTATTCTCGGTTTCTTTCTTTTATGAGCTGTTAATAGGTGGACGTGATGTCCATTTCTTTTTAAAGGGGATATGGAGGTCAAAGGCTTTTCTCGAGGTGGCATTTTTTGCTTGGACAGCTGCATGAGAAGCTCTTTTGAGTCTTTGACAATTGGTAAGTTGAGGAGTGGGGGCAAATGTGTGATGAAAAGGTGCTTCTTTGCAAAAGTGAGGGGGAGAATGTTAATCAGCTATGAAGCACAGACACTTCTTCGGAGGCAATGTATGGGTGTTCGACATGTGTCGGACACAGACACGCAACGGACACGCGATGGACACGTGCCAGACACTTTGTCTAACATGTCCAGAATTTTTATTTTTCATTTTTTCCCAGTCGAACACTTTGCGGGCACGCTCAGACACTTAAGGGACATTGCGTGGGGAGAGAGAGACTTGTAAACCGTAGACAAAGCTGTCGAAGCATTTGAAGGTCCCTATTGAAGCAATCATAGATTCGGAGGTAGGTTTCTCTCTCTCTCGCTCTCTCTCTCTCTTCGTCTCTCTTTTTCTCATCCTCTTCGTTCTTCTCTTCATTTTCTTCTTCTTTTCTTTTTTTTCCCCCTTTGACTTTGTTTCCCTCTCTCTCTCTCGTTTCTCTTTAATTATATATTTTTTGAATTTTATTTTTTTCCCCTTTTATGAGGTCATCCATTGGATATGTGAACAAAAATTTGCAACCCCTCTATTTTTTAATACTCATCTTTGGCTCTCTTTTCCTAAACATGTATAGAGCAAATTAATTTTATTTGAAGAAAAAATAAATTTCTTGAAATTGTTAAATTTATTTATTGGGTAAAGTGTTGAAATTGATAAATAGATGATGGCATTGGCTGGCGGTATATATATTTTAAATTATTTGTTAATGTTATTTTGAATTTTTTATTACTTCTCAATTATTTTGAATTTTTTTATGACATATAATAAATAAATAAAATTATATATTTTGAGCGTGTCCCCAGCGTGTCGTGTCTCTTATTTTTTGAAAATTTGCGTGTCCGCGTGTCCGTGTTGTGTCACGTGTCCATGTCCATGCTTCTTAGTTAATTAGCTTCTTTGGAGTCTTTGACAATTGATAAGTTGAAGCCTAGAGGCAAATTTGTGTTGAAGTGGTGCTTCATATATAAAAGTGAAAGGGGAGAGTGTTAATCATCTTCTTCTTTATTGCTTACTTGCTAGGGAGGTGTGGAACATGTGTTTTCGATCTTTGGAGTGTAGTGGGTGATGCTTTACACAGTCCGAGATTGATTGTTTCTTGGAGCAGAGGCTTCCAAGAGTTAGATTTTGGAGGGCGTGGGAGCCTGTTGTTGCTTTATGCCTTATGTAGAGCCTATGGAATAAGAGAAATAGGAGGTGTTTTGATAGCTATGAGAAGTCTATTTGTATTTCAAAGGTATTGTTTTTATCTCCCTATTTTTTTGTTGAAGGAGAACCTCCTTTTTCTTGATTTTGTCGACTTTTTGGAGATGTATGTCCCTTTAGATGCATGTTTCGGATTTTTTTTTTATCCTTTTTTTTTGTCTTTTGCATTTTGTATACGCCGTGAACTGTTTTGTGCCCTTTTGCAGCATTTGATTAATGAATTTTACTTGATAATTTTTTTTGGTCTGTGCCCATAAGAATAGAAGCCTGTCTCAAACTAGAATAACACTGTACATTAGGGATAAAGCAAGACTACTTGAGTAAACTGACCGAATTAGCTTGACTTCTTTTGAATAAATTATTCATTCCAAAACAATTAAGAGGTCAAGGTTCACAAAATTTGAAACCTTCAAAAACTTCTAATGTACCTTGGTAAGAAAATTCTACAATACTGTGCAACAACGAGCTGGTTTTGAAGATAGTACTTCAACCATTTTGGCCCATCTAATCAGGATTATGAACTAGAATGTTCTTAACTGTGAAAACAGCTAATTCTAATACCTCTCAATAGGACTGAACTCCATAAATCACAAAAGCAAAACAACAATGAAGGTGAAAATCAACACTGGTTCCCTTTGCGTATACACTATATCTGAGATCATAAAATAGTTTGTCAGAATAAGACATGTCTTTCTTTTTTCTACTTGAATGTCACTTGTGATCTTAAGCACGTGGGGACCATGTTGCTTTTTTCTTGTTGAAAGTGAAAAAGGAAATATTTTTCTTTTGAACTGTGCACTTAGAACATTTTGGCCTTTCTTTCTTTCTTTCTTCTGCCTTACGTCTTTGGCCTTTGTTGATGACAGCTTTGAGGGCAATGGATACGCTGAACTTCACTCCTCTAAATGGAAAGCCCATTAGGATAATGTATTCTCATCGTGACCCTAGTACGCGTAAAAGTGGGGCTGGAAATATTTTTATTAAGGTATTGATATAATTTTTCCCTTTCCTTCTTTTGGTCGTTATTACTTATTGGGTAAATTACATTGACCTCCCCCGAGGGTTTATGACAATTACATAAACTTACCCTCAGGTTTTTTAAATTACACTTACCTCCCTTGTCAGTTATGTCTGTCAAACTAAGCTAACAGAAAGTATGTTTTTACCTTTTTACCATCATTTGTTTATTCATATGAAAATCAAAAAATGTCGCCACGCTAAAAAAATACTAAACTAAATTGGTAAACTTTATAACACCCAATCACGGTCGCCTTTCTTCTTCCTCCACGGTCTACACTTTTTCAATTTGTTTCACATACAACAAATTATTATTATCATTTTAACACATGCATAAATCCTACACTACATAAATGCATTTCTTACTTATTTGATTTTTTTTTTTTTAACTTTTTGATTTATTGAACTGAAAAAGCTATTTTACCACCCCCGTTAAAAATAAATAAATAAATAAATAAAAAAATTCAAATTAACTAACCTGTATGCCTTAGCCAAAAAGACCTCCATAATCCAATATTTTTCATATTGTTATATTTATTTGATCAACTTTAAAATAGTGTTTGGTTCATTAAAATAATATAGAATTGAATAAAATGATCATTTTTTAAAGTAGTGTTTGGTTCAATGGAATGAAAAGAATAGAATTAAATGGAATAAAATGGTCATTTTTTAAACTGTATAACTATTCCCTTACAATGAATGGTAATTCTATTTTTAATACACTTTTTATCAACAATAATTTTTTTTTTTGGAATGAACCAAACCAAACATCCCACTCCAATAAACCAAACACAACATAAGTTACTTTTTCTTCCAAATATTACTCTAATTAACATAACAATATAAGAACTAGTTGTAAAAATGGGTTTGTATCATTTAATTAACCTTTGAAATCTATTGCCCGTATTAGAAAAACACATTAGTTAAACACCTATTCAAAATTTTATTACAAAAGTTAATGTATTATCTAAATTCAATTCTTACATAGTAGGATCTATACTTAAAGACCACATTAAATTTTCTTGAATAAATTTCTACGTAAATTTTTTAAATATGTTACATTATTGATAGAAAAAATGTTTGAATCATTTAGTCATTGCCAATTGTTGTGTGTTTTTGTTTTTAAAAATATATATATATATATATATTTGCTGTTCACTTTTCAGCAAAAGAATTGAAGATGTGACACAAAAGTAAGTGTGGAAGTGCATATAGATTTTTTTTTTTTAAAATGTATATTTAAATAGTGTATTTTACCAACAACTCAAAATATTATGAAGTGTTAAAATATTAATTTGACTTTTAAAGGGTAAATGTGGCATTTTAGAAAAATAAACTGATGAGTTCAGCAAGTTCAGTTAATGCTAGTAATGGACAGAGTACGGCTGGGGGAATTTATAATCTGTCAGTGAACCAGAGGGGTGGTAAGTGTAATTTCAGAAACCTGGGGGGAGGTTTCTGTAATTGTCATAAACCTCAGGGAAGGTCAGTGTAATTTACCCTTATTAGATGTTGGAAGTCTTTTTGGTCTCTTTTTTGTGTGCTGACGAAGTTTTCATGTGTTTTGGTGTTGGCAGAATTTGGACAAGGCAATTGACCACAAAGGACTGCATGATACATTTTCTTCATTTGGGAATATTCTCTCTTGCAAGGTGGCTACTGACTCATCTGGTCAGTCGAAAGGCTATGGGTTTGTGCAATATGATAGTGAGGATGCTGCCCAAAAAGCAATTGAGCAGCTTAATGGTATGCTGTTGAATGATAAGCAAGTATACGTGGGACCCTTCCTACGGAAACAGGAAAGAGATATGGCTGCAGACAAGACAAAATTCACAAACGTCTTTGTAAAGAATCTGTCAGAGTCAACGACAGAAGAAGATCTGAAGAAAATATTTGGTGAATTTGGAACAATCACCAGTGTTGTGGTGATGAGGGATGCTGATGGAAACTCTAGGTGCTTTGGTTTCATCAACTTTGAGAATGCAGATGATGCTGCTCAATCTGTTGAGTCTCTTAATGGACACAAATTTGATAACAAGGACTGGTATGTTGGGAAAGCCCAAAAAAAATCTGAGAGGGAACTTGAATTAAAACTTCAATTTGAGCAGGCTGTTAAGGAGGCAGCGGACAAATCTCAAGGGTTAAACCTGTACATAAAAAATTTAGATGATAGCATTGGTGATGATAAACTTAAGGAATTGTTCTCTCCATTTGGTACCATAAGTTCATGCAAGGTTTGTGGCATCTATATATTTACTGATAAGAGTTGGTTCTGCTAGTATATTGTTTAAGAGTTTACTGAAAATTTATTGTTTTGATATACAAACAGGTTATGCGAGACCCTAATGGGATGAGTAGGGGATCGGGATTTGTTGCATTTTCTACTCCCGAAGAGGCATCTAGAGCTGTGGGTTGATATGTCTTCAACAATTACATAAACTTCATCATAGAATAACTACTACTACTACTACTGCTGCTGCTGTTGTTGTTATCATCATTATCATTGAATCTTTACTGCATTTATGAAATCATTACTTGTTGTGGAATAACAGTTGGTCTTTTGTTTTTAATGCTTTTTGTGATAGCTCTTGGAGATGAATGGCAAAATGGTTGTCAGTAAACCTCTTTATGTTGCACATGCACAGCGTAAAGAAGATAGAAGAGCAAGGTTGCAGGTATGTAGACAAGGTGTTTTCAGCTTCCAACCAACTGTAGAGGAACTCCAAAGGGACATTAAAAGGGGGACACAAACAAACAAACGGAAAGGGCTAGATTTTAGTGGTTAAGATGTCAACACATAACTGTCTTCTGCGTCCTTCATTTGAGTTTGCCACTTTGTGAAGAAAAAAATATAATGCATTTTCTTCCTAGTTTGACTCAAAAGAAGATGCAGCTCAGATGAATGAAACATGAATTGATTGTTCAGTTGTGGATCTCTTTGCTCCGAATTTGATTCTTTTAGGGTTATCATGGATATGTGTATGCATGGAAAAACGTGGTTGGTTACATGAAAATGGTAATTCTATTGCTTGTGCAGGCTCAATTTTCTCAAATGCGTCCAGTTGCAATGGCACCTTCAGTTACTCCTCGTATGCCAATGTACCCACCTGGTGGTCCTGGTATCGGACAACAAATATTCTATGGACAGGCTCCTCCTGCTATCATGCCTCCCCAAGTAATCTCATTGTTCTCGATTGTTATTACCCATTCTTTCATAGGTTAGACATTTGCATGTTCAATGCTGCAGCCAAATGAATGGTATCCTTATATTGAATGAGTAAAACATCTATAATCCTTTGCCTCAGAGAATTTAGCCATTCTAAACTTGAGATAACAATGATCATTTTAGTTATGAAGACTTCATATTCTTTCTTTTAATTTGGAGCTTTAGAAAAGGAACAGAACTGAAAGGCAAGCAATGTGGTTGTCTCTTTCTCAAAGATCTGAGAAATACATGCAACTGCTCTGTTATGGGCTTCTCCTCTGGACCAAGGATAAAAAAGGATGAAAAGAATGATTTGGCTTACCCATGAATAAGGTAGAGACCATGTATATATAATAGATTCATGATACAATTTAGGAAACGATATAAACTAGGAAACAATATAAATAAGACACTAAATTAGTGATTGACACAATCACAGATTATATACATAATACTAAAAATAAAAAGATTTTATGTACTCTATATTCAATACTCTCCCTCAAGCTGGTATGAAGATATTCAACAGTCCGCAGCTTGCCAATGGATGATTGGAGTAATGTTGGTCTTATGGACTTTGTGAACATATCTGCTAATTGCTGAGAGGAAGAGACAAAGGATGGACTCACAATACTAGTCTGAACCTTTTTTTGAATGAAACGAATATTAACTTTTATATGTTTAATACGCTCATGAAGGACAGAATTAGAGGATAGTATAATAGCAGGCTTGTCACAAAATAAGGAGGCAGGACTAGTCTTCTCAAAACCTAACTCTGCTAGTGTAGAACAAAGCCATAGAATCTCACATGTTCCCTGTGCCATTGCTCAATACTCAGCTTCTGCAGAAGAGCTAGAAACAAATGCCTGCTTCTTACTCTTCCATGATATAAGATGATCACCATAGAAAGTATAAAAGTCAGAAGTAGAACGCTAATCAATTGTAGATCCTGCATAGTCAGCATCAGTGAAACAAGAGAGCCTAGATTGATGAGCGGCTGTAAAGAATAATCCCAAGCCAAGAGAGGTCATTAAATATCTCAAAATGTGATGAATTGCATCAAGATGTTCTATACGACGTGCATGCATGAATTGACTAACAATACTGACTGCAAATGTCAAGTCAGGTCTAGCATTGGTCAAATAAATTAGACGTCCAACAAGATGTTGATACATGCTTAGGTCCTCTAACAACTCGTCAGATTCTGATGTGAGCTTGACATTGGGATCCATAAGAGTAGAAGCAGGTTTATACTAACATACCAGTATCTTGAAGTCAAGAGTGTACTTTCTCTGAGATAAGGAAATTTCCCACTGTGAGTGACTACCTCAATCCCAAGAAAATACTTGAGACTCTTCAAATCCTTAATATCAAATCCCTTTTTACTTGATCAATGCCTATAGAATTATCACCTGTGAGAATAATATCATTTACATAAACCAGCAAGACTATACATTGACCGGTTGAATTACGACGGATGAAGCAAATATGGTCGGAGTGGCACTAAACAAACCCCATGGAGATGATGAGAGAACTGAAACGACCAAACTAAACTCGTGGAGACTGTTTCAAGCCATATAAAGACTTGCGCAATCGACACACTTCCCCGAATACTCCCTCTCAGCCCAAAAACCAAGAGGAGGTGCCATATTAATCATCTCAAGAAGATCCCTATGAAGAAAGGCATTCTTAACATCATAAAGAGGCCAAGAGTGGGATGCTACAAGAGAGATGAGAAGACGAACCAAGGTAAGCTTGGCAACAGGTGCAAAAGTGGCTCCAAAATCCTTGCTTGGAACTTGAGTGACGCCCTTGGCTACCAAGCGGACTTTGTAACGGTCAACGGAGCCATCAGCTAGATACTTAATAGTGAATACCCATTTGCAACCCACAGTACTCTTGCCAAAAGGTAAAGGAACTAGATCCCAAGTATGATTTTGTTCTAAAGCTATTTTCTCAACTTGCATAGCCTTTACCCATTTTGGATTTTGAAGGGCCTCTGACACAGAACGAGTAATAGCATTGGATTCAAGCTTGCCAAGAAAAGAGCGATAGGTAGGGGAGATCCTATCATATGAACGATACTGAGAAATGGGATGATTAGTACTACTCAAATAACCCCAACAGTTTGGAGGATGTTGATCTCGAGGGGGATTACGACGAGGAGGTGGAGGGGATGTATGTAAAGGAGAAGAAGTACCTGACCCAAAGACCGGAGACGAGGCAGAGGGGAGTTGAGAGTAGGCGATGAGAGTATACCTGCAATGAGGGGGGGTGAAGGAGGCGAAGGCGGAGAATGAGGACAACCTCATCCGTAACCTCGTCCAAAATAAGAATAGGGTGAACACTAGAAGGAACGGGAGTGAAAGCCTACAAAGGAGGGTTAGTACCAAAAAAAGAGATCCTCACAAAAAGTAACGTCTATAGTGTGGTGAAAGTGACGAGACACAGGATCAAAACACCTATATCCTTTTGACATAGAAGAATATCCTAGAAAGACACAACGAATAGACGTGTTATCTAACTTGGTACGAGCGGGACTCCAATCCTAAACAAAATAGGTACACCCAAAGACACGGAGCATGAGAGGAAATAGAGTAGTGTGGAGTATAAGAACATGAAATGGAGTAAGACCTGCAACACACGACTAGGGGTCCTATTAATAAGATAGACAGCGGTGGGCAATCCATATGCTAATAGGACTTAGGGACACTCATACCACAAATGAGACACTACAAAATAGGCATAATATGACGATTTTTACGTTCAACTATACTATTTTGCTCAGGAGTTCGTGGACATGTAAGTTGAAGAATACCAGTTTGATTAAGATGGGAGCGAAAAGTATTGGAAATATATTCCCCACCATTATTAGAACAGATATTCCTAACAATTGTACGAAACTAAGCATAACCATTTGCAAAAACTGAACAAAAATGAAAAACACGTCAGACTTGCGACAGAGCAAATATACCCAAGTGCATCTAGTGTGGTCAAGGTTCTGAAAAGCGATTGCGGTCGCCATAACGGTGGCGGTGGCGTGGTTGCGGGTGCGGGGTGTTAAGGCCGTAACGTAATGGTTGCGGTAACTGGAACAGTGAATGTTTTTATTTTTCGCACAATTTGAAAAAAAACTTATCGATACATATATTTATTTTTTTTCAAAATCATATTTATTGGGTTTTAAAATAAATTTTGATCAATTTTTTTTTTTTTTTAATTTTAAGTATGATCCAATTTATTTTATATTTTTAAATCACTATAAAATGAGTTTTTTACATTTTATTTCAATAATTAATGACTTCATGTCATAAATTCATATTACACTTGTGGCAAAATTTTCTAAATAAAATAAACTAATCAATAAAAACTGACATGTATAAAATATATATTAATATATAATTGTAGGTGTTATGTTTTTTTAGATATTTAAAAAAAACAATAATTAACTATTATAAGATAAATAGTCACAAAAATAAAAGAATAAATATACTTATAATAAGAGCTTATATATATGTACATATATATTTTAATCAAGAGCTACCAAATAGATAATGACCACACAACAAAATCAGTGTATTTGGTTCAATTTTCTTAATTCAATTTTATGGAAATTGAATTTTTTGTTTTTCGTATTTTTTGGCTTTTAGTGAATATTTTTAAAATTTTAAGCAATTTTTTTTACTTTTTTAAATGCATCTTACTTAGATGTATCTAAATAGTAAAATATTTGTAAAAATTAATAAATATATAAAAATACAAAAAATATATTGAATTTTCATATATATATATTTTTATATTTTTGATATTTAGTGAATTTTTAAACTTTTTTTTATAAATATTATATTTTTTAAATGTATTTATGTTAGGTGTGTCAAAAAATTAAAAAAATTGCTTAAAATATTAAGAAAAATTAATGAAAACAAAAAAATATGAAAAATGAAAAAATAAAAATTTTATAAAAATGAATTTTGAAAATAGAAACCAATCACAGTGAATAATTTGTTTTTTGTTTTGTTTTGTTTTTACAAACAGTAGCTGGCACACAAACAAAATAATAATAAAAAAATGATTTGAAGAGGCAACCAAATAGAGTGAAACAATAATAATCACCTTGCTTGTTTCTACTTTTCAGAAAATTTTATTTTCTTATTTTCCATGTTTTTTTGTTTTTATTGAATTTTTTTAATATTTTAAGCAATTTTTTTACTTTTTAGACACACCTACATAAATACATCTAAAAAGTAAAAAAATTGTAAAATAAATCTTTTAAAAATTCACTAAATACCAAAAATATAAAAAAAAAATACAAGAATTTAGTACATTTTTTGTATTTTTATGTATTTGTTAATTTTTTAAAATATTTTTTCACAAATTTTTTACTTTTTAGATACATCGAAGTAAGGTGCATCTAAAAAAGTAAAAAAAAAATGTTAAAAATTTAAAAATTATTCACTAAAAACAAAAAAACACGAAAACTAAAAAAGTCAATTTTCAAAAAACTTAATCCAGAAAACTCAAACCAAACACACTGAATAATTTATTTATTTATTTTTGGTTGCAAACAACAGCTGGCTTACACAACCAAAACAATAATAAAAAATTGATTTCAAGAAGCAATTGTATTTGCTAAGTGTCTCGAACTTCAACATTCATCATCATCAACTCAGACTAAAAAAAAATCATCTCTTGATTTCTCAATAAATTTGCAAGACGCATCGATGGTTGTTCATCTTCAACAACATCGGTTCTTCAACTTCAACAACATCGGTTCATCATCTTCAACAACATCAGTTCTTTATCTTCCTTCTTCTCTCTCTCTTTCTTACTCCTCCATCTTCCCTCTTCATCTTCAACAACATCAGTTATTCCTTCTTCCCTCTTCACTCTTATTTTTTGAACTCAACTATCTTGCAAAGTAGACCAATCAACCATAAAGGTATGTACAAAATCTGTATAATATATATATTTTTTTAGCTTTTTTTTTCTTTTTCCGACAAGTGTTCAGAACATTGTGTAACGGTGCGTAACAAGTTGTTACGGCACTGTTACGGCCACTACGGCAGCCGCTACGGCCGACACACCTGTGAATCTCAATCACACCGCAAAAGTGGGGGTAACGCGTGGTGCCTACCGCCGCAACTGTTACGTAACAACCGCAATAGTTACGTAACGACACATTTTGAAACCTTGATTGTGGTCATCAATATAGGTGACATAATATCGATGGCTAGAAAAAGCAAGAATAGGAGACAGATCCCAAACATCGGAATGTATAAGGTTAAAAGCAATAGGAGCACGAGTCATATGAGGTATGTAATTGGTACGAGTATGTTTAGATAATTCGCGAACCACACAATGAAATTTAGAATCTTTGCAAGTTTTATTTAATAAAGGAAAAAGTTGACGTAAGTATTAAAAATTGACATGACCCATACGTGCATGCCACAATTCTAAAGTTTGAACATTAAAAACACAAGATATAGAGGCAGGCAAAACAAACGCCTGAAAACTAGTTAAAGTAGAAGGAGGTTGGTCTAGTGGATCCCCAAAGTAGTAAAATCCATCGCACTCATATCCCTTGCCAAAAATCCTCTTCGAACTCGGGTCTTGTAACAGACATGAAAAAGGTAAGAAAGTAACAGCATAATTGAAGGACTTGGTAAGCTGACTAACGAATAGTAGATTATATGTAAAATTAGGAATATGCAAAATAGAGGATACAGTAATATCAGGAGACACTTGACCCTTATGACGAACTAAGGAGAGAGAACCATCAGCAAGACAAACAGATTGGTCTATAGTAGTAGGAACTGGAGATGAAAGAAGAGAAAACTCACTCGTCATATGATCATTAGCCCCAGAATTCAAAACCCATAAGGGACCAGCAGACCGAACATGAAAAGCAATAGAAGTACCTGTAGCGAGAGTAGTAGTAATAGAGGAGGATGGGGCAGAAGAACTAGTAGTCAAAGTCCCAAGTTAAGTCTGAAGCTGGCCAATCTAAGTCTGTAATTGCTGTAAAATAAGAATAGTCGGAGACCCAAAAGCATAAGAGGCCTCCACGAAAGTAGCAGTGTGAGGTGTGCCAGAACCACGAGAGCGAGAAGATCGTTGCCTTAACTTAGGATGAAAGAGAGCCTTGACATGACCAGGAGCCTCACAACGATGACAGGTAACTGAACCAGTAGAATCTCGGGAACCTGAGTTTGCGGCAAGGGCCATCTAGTCAGATAAGACAGGAGTCACTGGAGTAGTGGTGTGCAGAATCAGCGATGACGCTCATCACTATCAATGGTGGCAAAGGCCTCATAGAGGGATGGCATGGGCAATGTGTCTAAAATCTGAGTTCGAAGAGATTTAAATTCAGAGCTTAAACCTATCAGAAACTGGTAAGTGTGTTGGCGGGCAAGGCAGCTGGACACAAGAGCGGTGGCGTCTGCTGGTAACTTAGTCAAGGGCTCATATTGAGCCAATTCCTCCCAATGAGCCTGAAAGTATCCAAAGAACTCTTGACACAGAGAGACCCAAAGCAGACTGGGAGGCATGAGCAATGTCTTGATAGAGTTCAAAGATGCGAGCATCATTATGAGCATGGGTATACATCTGAGACAAGGTATGCCAAAGACTTGAAACAGTGTCGCAATAAAGAAACATGTGATAAATATGATCCTCCATGTAGTTGAACTTCTATCCTAAAATAGGTTAATTATCTATATCCCACAAGGCACGTGTAGAATCAATTGCTGTAGGCTAAATAGAAGATGAGAGCCAATGGGCCTTTCCTTTTCCCTCTAAATAGAGTTTAAGGGAGCGGCTCCAAGCAGCAAAATTTTTCTCATTTAATACCACACTCATAATGCGATGAATAGAAGAGTGATGAGAAAGGGAAAAATTAGATGTCACTGGTGCAGGTTTGGTGGGCATATTGGAATCAACATGGGATGGGTCAGTCATGGTGGATTAATAAGGGCTAGAAAACACAAAATCATAGCAACATAGTTTAAAAAAATATAAGAAGTCGGAAAAAACTCAACGGCTATTCCAAATAAATGTTACCAAACAAATCTGGTTGTCCACTAAATAAAAAAAGGCCAAAAAGTGCTTAAAACATCAGCACCACATCTTAGAAAGGGAAAACAAAAAGAGACTATACTGCCCTAAAAGAGCTGCCGAAGCATCTATGGCCAGGAAACACCTTGATTGGCAGCCAACAAGACCCTCGGCAGCATTAGGGCAACTTGCTGAGGGGTGTAGAGGGTTGGGTAGGTGGTTTCGGGGGGTCTAGGCTGGAATAAAGGGCTGGAAGGGGATTATCGGCACTCAAGGAGGAAGGAAGAAGATGAAACAGTGGTTAGGCAGTGGGATAGAGGTGTTGACAGTGGTTGGGCAGAGAACTAGGGTTTCTATGCTTTGGCTCTGATACCAAAAAGGATGAAAATAATGATTTGGCTTACTCATGAATGAGGTAGAGGCCATATATATATAATGAATTCATGATACAATTTAGGAAACGATATAAACAAGGAAGCAATATAAATAAGGTACTAAGGGTTGGTTTGGGATGTTCTAAAAAAGTGCACCTTTTGACTTATTGGCTTATATGGGTTGGGTTTGATGTGATGGGTTAGAGTAGTGATATGATTTAAATAAGATGATGTGACTTAAATAGGACAGTGACTTTTTGACTTTTTGTATTATTTAGTTTATGCCAAACCAAACCTAAATCAGTGATTAACACAATCACAGATCATATAAATAATTCTAAAAATAAAAACGATTTTATGTACTCTAATTTCTACATTCAACAGATAACACTTTGGTTGTATTGATTGTATGAAGAACATATTTACTTTCCGTGTCAATGGATATTTTCTTAGAAAGCTTGAATTTATGGTTCTTTGGTTGTTTGAAAAAGAGTGCATTGGTTATTTAATAATTTTTTTGGGAGGAATATGAGGGAAATGGAATAGAATGAGTAAGAAAAGATCTTTAGGAGGTTACCTTTGGCTTTCTAATGCAGCTTGATCTGCAAGGAGATACTACACATGCTTGGCGTGTATGCCTTGCTAACAAGACAACTTGGTACAACATCTTGTATTTTTTTTAATTAAGTTTGAGCAGTTTGAAATTCCTTAGCTATTCTCCAAAAAGACATTCACTTCTTTGTCTAGTTGCATTGAAATAATCTAGACAATAGGTGGAACTAAAAATTGATGCAGGGAGGGTGCCAATAACCAAAGTTGCAAAGGGAATAGAAAGAAGAAGAAACATATTGGTAAATTCAAGACAAAGGAAGAAATAGTTTTGTCCAGTCATTCCATCTATTTGCAATTACTCTCTATTCCATTTTGATAATCCCTTTTGAGAAATTTTAATTTTTTAAGAAGACACGGACACTTGAATTCAAATTTTAAAACATTAATTTCAAAAATACTTTTCTATTCCTATTTTTAAGGATGCCTGAGTCATTATGCAGAGCCGTTCATAAAGCAGACTTTTTGACACCTATGTAGAATCTTTAGATATATTTTCATATGACTCTACATGAAGTTACAAGTTCAATCTTCTCTGTTTAGTACTTGAAATGACTGGAATGTAGCATATAAGCAGTGGCTTGCAACTATAGCGTTTTGGTAACTAATTTTTTTGCTTCGGTTTATACTTTGTCAGCCTGGTTTTGGGTATCAGCAACAACTTGTTCCAGGCATGAGGCCTGGTGGGGCTCCCATGCCAAATTTCTTCATGCCTATGGTTACCCAAAGGGGTCAGCGCCCGGGTGGCAGACGTGCAGGAGCTGTTCCAGTGCAGCAGAACCAACAGCCAGTTCCATTTATGCAGCAGCAGGTGTCATTGCTTTTTGCATCAATTTTTTGAATTTCATACTTGCGTTTGTCATACTTTCTCTGATGGTTTGTTTGAATGATAGATGCATCCTAGGGGGAGGGTGTACCGTTATCCCCCAGGGCGTGGCCTGCCTGATGTTTCCATGTCAGGTGTTGGTGGAGGCATGTTTTCTGTGCCTTATGATATGGGTGGTATGTCTTTGCGTGATGGTGGAATGTCTCAACCAATTCCAATTGGGGCTTTGGCATCTGCTCTTGCAAATGCTTCTCCTGCAGACCAGAGGACGGTAGGCATTTTGTTTGTATTACTTTATTTGTTTGCTTTTGGGGTGAGGGAAGTAGGGGAGCTTTACACTACATTTGGTAACTTGGGGGAGAGAAGAAAATTTATAAGAGAAGAAAAGAAAAGATTGTGATTTTTTTCCCTTTTGTTTGGATAGATAAGAGAGAAAAGAAAAGAAATGATATTGATTTCTCTCCTATCTTGTTTGGTTAAGCTATATAAAAGAAAAGAAAACAAATGAAATGATGTAATGTTATATTACCAAATTAACCTTTTTATAGGTGTTAGTCTTTTTATTTGTTCTATATCTAAAAGGGTAGCTTTGGTATTATTACAAAATAATATTTAGTGGTTTCATTTCTCTCCACTTTTGGAGAGATTGAAAATAGGGGTTATGAGAGAAATGTGTTTCTCTCCATTTCTTCCAATTTCTCTCATATTTGGTAATCCAAACAAACAAGGGATTGAAATACATTTTTCTCTATTTCTTTTATTTTCTCTTCAAATCACTCAAACCAAAGTAAGTGTTATGCTTTAATATGTTTCAGTACCATGTTACATGGACTCTTTAAAATAAATCAAGTACTCGTGTTGGACACCTGGCACGTGGATAAGGGTGTGAAATGTGTCCAATATTTGTAGTTAACACGATCATTATATATACTAATCTATACTAATAATATTAAGGGAGAACATTGGCGTTGCTCTCACAAACTGAAGTTGTGTATTTTATTTTCTCCCAAAAACCCATACTATTAGCATTTTGATATATTTTTTTCCTTTTTAGGATTGGTTTGGGAATAGGCTATTTTTGTAACTTTCTGGCTTTTTGGCTAAAATATGAGATAAAAAATAATAATATGTTTGGGATGATTTTTTGACTTTTTACAAAAAAAAAAACGTACAAAAAAGTGGAGAGGAAAGGGGATCTTTGAATTTTTTTGTATAGTTCTTTGGTATTTTTAGTAACTGTTTTGGCCTTTTAGCTATTATAGGGAGTTCCCAAACTTACCCTTAAATCAAAAGGGTAAACATGTAAATATAAATCTACTAATTCAATTACTTCAGAACTCAAATCCTAATTCCATTTAAAAACTTCCCATCCAGGTGAGTCAGGATAAGTATTAACCCATCTTCTAAAAATTCAGTTACTTAGATATATGTCTTTCTTTGTAATGGCAAAGTAAACAAAATGGAAATCAGCAGATTGGATGACACCATGAGAGAGAAGAAGAGGGTTGTTGGGTGTTAAATTCATGAAACTTTGTCTGGTTGCTACATGATTAATGAAGAAAAAGAGGGAAGAAGGAAGAAGAAAAAATAGAAGGGACGAAGGAAAGGAAAAGTGAAGGAAAGAAGGGGAAAAAGAAAAAAACGAATGACATAGAGGGGGGTGTTGTGCTACGGAAAGAGACGTATCATTTTTTTCACATAACTACATTTACGCACATCATTTTTTTTTTCAGTTTTTCACATGACTACATTTTGTTTAGGCACATCATTGTTTTACTGTATATTTGTTTATATGTCTATCATTTTAGGATTGTTCATTAATTTCTTATCATTTTTGTTTTTAGTGGCCTCTCTTATAGTTTAAGAGCAATTTAGAAATATTTAAAGTGAGCTAAATATTGTTTTATTAATTTCATATATTGCTTTACTACTATTATAAATAAATTCGAATCAATTTAATAAATTCTGCATATGCATTGCGTGTGCACAACTTCTGGTATGTATATTTTGTTCTATGTATGTTACATATAAATATTATTTTATCTCACATGATAGATTAAAAATATTACCTTTTTGCCGAGTCTATACCCTTAATTTTGAGGTTTGATGGGTCCAATCTCTAGATTGCCAATCGAGGTTATTAATGTAGATGGTCTGCCAAACAGTTGCCAGATCTCGTAAATGGTGGATAAGTTTACTATCTTGATTGCTCTACGTAATCAAACTCAAACAAATTAACAAAAATTTTAAAGGTATACTAATTTGATTTTTTCAGAGGTAGTGTTTGAAATGCTATCCATTAGGAAGATGACATTAACATATAACAGCTGCATTTTATAATCATCTTACAACATATTATATTTCTAGCACACATTCTGATCTGAAAATGCAATCTGCTGTTGTAATGTATTTAACTCAAGTTTTCTGTGTTTGTTGGCCAACTTTAGATGTTGGGCGAAAATCTGTATCCGCTTGTGGAACAGCTGGAGCCTGAGATGGCGGCTAAAGTAACTGGCATGCTTCTGGAGATGGATCAGACTGAGGTTTTGCACTTACTGGAGTCGCCAGAAGCTCTGAAAGCCAAGGTAGCAGAGGCTATGGAAGTCCTGAGGAACGTTCAGCAGCAGCAGCAGGCCGGCAACCCGGCTGATCAACTGGCCGCATTGTCGTTGAATGATGGCCTCGTTTCTTGATTGTGTCGGAACCCAAATTGTGAGTTTGGTTGACGAACTTGTTTCCTGATTATGCAGACATCATCAAATTGGGAGTTTGGTTTGATTTCAAAAACAGTTTTTTAGGCGTGGTTTTGTTAATTGTTCTAAGGGAAGACTCATAGTAGGGAATGCACTTTGTTTTTGTACCATTGGCATTATTCTTTTCGAGTGTTATGAATATTGCGACATTTCTGTTGTGTTTTGTTTCGACTGTTTTTTGTGTTGTGGGTTTGAGCACACTAAAAATGGGCAGGATTAGTAGCAGCAGTTCCGTCCAAGGCTTAGGCGTTTTATGAGATTTTAGATTTGTTTCTGGCTCTAGTTGGATTTATTTCGAATGGGAATCAAAAGTGTGAATATGAATCATAAATAATAAGGTGCGAGCCCCAGAATGCTGCTCTTACAGACTGTTTCGGGTAATTATGGGACGGTTGGACACATGTACAATTGATGTTAGTTAGGGTAGGGACTACCTAGTGGCCCGGATTAGCCTGTTTGTTCTGCCCACCTGAACTTATCTGAATGGGGCTTTTACGTTTATATGCTTTGCAGAATCAAGATTTGCAGTGCTGTTGTGAATTTCTATTTCCCAGTTGTAGGAACATCCATGTAAATGGTTACTGGTATGGTGTACCTGTGTCGGAACACGTTGACTGCAATAGTGTGTGAATGTAATCAAAATGATGTCCGACTGCAATAGTGTGTGAATGTAACCAAAATGATGTCGTTATAGATAGTATAAAATGACGTTTAACTTAAAAAGTTGACTGGCGATGTGCTTTAATTTCAGCCTATGAATGAAGAGTTTGTTGCACACTTTACTGTTGACGTTTAATTTTAGCCTATGAATGAAGAGTTGGGCGATGTTTTATACTTTAAAGCCTTATTTGTTTATTGGATATAAAGGTTAGATATGAGTGTGAGACTAGATATAATATAAAGTGGGTTTTACATATTTTTTTTGTCTTATATTCTGTGTTTGGTTGCTCTAGATAGTATATGAAGCAAAAGGGGTTATCGTCGGATATAACTCATTCTTTATCCAAATGTCAAACAAAAATAATTATTCTCTTCTTATCCCTACTTATATTCTATCTTGACCAAACATAGTATAAGTGATCTCAGAGTATATATAATCCATCTCATATCTTATAATATATTATACTACATTCTTATCGTTAGATATTACATATCCTTCTCAAATTCTTATATCAAATCTGAACAATCAAACAGGACCTAAGAAGATTTTAAGAGAGGACGGCAGAATTCCTAACAAAAAAGAGAGCCTTCATGTTTTTTATTGAACCCATGTTAAATAAATGCAATTTAAATTGACTTCTTAAAATTTTTTGAGAATAATGCTAGAGATTTCAAAAATTCTATCAAAAGTTCTATCAAATGTCTCACATGGGTGTGGGATCCTGTTGGCACTAAAATTTATCTCTCTGTCGAATAGTTACAATAAATACAGAGAGTTGATCCAAGGGATGCTAGAGGTGAAAATCTTAAGTTTCCAATGGGAGGTGTACCCTAGAATGTAGAGCTAAGTAACGCAATTAAAGGAACAGATATGGTGGACGCAATTTTCTTCTATTCCTCTGATAATACGATAAGATGGGGCCAAACGTGGCCCAGGTGTCAAGTTATGAGATAAGGCACGCACATAATGCAGGATACGTGGTTTATTTGCAAAGAAAAGGAGTGATGCAGCAGAGGAGCAGTTATCAGAAGTTACGAAGATCATGGGTAGTTATGCAAGAAGTGGAGGGAATTTGCTCCGTGATGGGACACGTGGCAGCAGAGAAGTAGCAAAGCGAGTAACATAAAGGCTGGAATTTCAGAGGAAAGAAGGACGATCAAACACACAACTCATATGGAATTAGGAGTAATTTAACTTAGTTAGCAATAGTTTCTGTATTTAGTAGTAGTCTGTGTAGAATTCAGCCTCTGTGGCCAAGTTCCTCTTTGTCGATTGTCATGTACATTGGTTTTGTAATTTAATTCTTGTAATTAAGTGGCAAGTTTACTTGTTCTTCAATCAATTTTCATTTTATTCACATTTGTTTTTTTGCATTATAACCTCCAAAAAAGTCCTTGAATCTATCAACGCATAGGACATTCAAACCACAATTGCTTGATTTGTTGTTGTTTGTGAAATTCTAGGCTGTGTTTGGAACGATTTCCAAACCATGATTCTACCCCCACATTCCAATATGATGTTTGGATAGGATGTTCAAAGTAGATTTCCACAACATTTAGAAAACTCTGTGTGAGGCGCGATTTTCAATTTTTTTTTTTTAAAATTTGGCCTAACCGGTCGTCCCACCGGCCATCCAGCTGGTTGACCTGAACAGTGCAAATTTATTTATTTATTTATTTATTTTTTGCAATTGACATGTTAATTTTTATATATTCGAAAAAAATATTTTTCAAATTTTTTAAAATTTTTTATGTGCTTTAATAGAATTTTGTGTAGTATGTTTGGTTATGAGTTGTAAGTTTTTGTATCAAATATCATATGTCACATCAAAAATTCCTTACTCAATTCAAAACTCTTTTACCAAACAAATTTTCCACACTCAAATCATAATTCTAAAAATCACAAAATCAAAATACAACTCCTACTCTCAAATCATATTTAGAAAGCTCTACCAAACGCAACCCTGGGTTTTCTGTTGAATCTCATCTGTCGATTTGGCCCAAACTAGATTTTTGCTAACATATTTTGGCACGCTCGGTGGGACCTGTCTAATTTGGAGTGATGGCTAGGAAGAAACAGCATGAAGTCTTTGAAGACCTTGAGAAAAGGGTTGAAGATGGAGAATAACTGGATGGTGGGCTTGAAGGAGTGGAAGACAACCTAGCTGATGGCCATTCAGTGGCCAGGCAGGAAATAGGCCAAGGAAACAGCCAAAATATGGCCAGTCTAGTTGCCCTCCTATTGATCTAAGAAGGGCTCTTTTGTTGCATACTTAGCAAACAATTGGTTCCATGTCTGCATATGAGAACCAAGTGATGATAGATGACTTGCTTGCTTTGTTTGAGAAAGCCAACATCAAATCAAGCCAATCAAGAAGGATTGGAGATAAAACTCAGGTAAGTAAAGCACAATTTATACCACCTATGACCTCTCAACAGCATGGAAATGTAAATGTAACTTGTGCCATTTTATAGACCTCCCACACTCCAAGAAAGATATGAGGAGGGAATGACCATAAATCCTGTGTTTGAGAAAGAGTACCCCACAAACTCAGTGTTTAATCATAACTTAAATATAAATAATATGGCAGTGAGATCTGGGGAGCAACTAAGGCCACAAATGTATGGTACTCCTACATATGGTATTCCTGCATTTGATAGGCCTGGTTACCATGAACAAAGAAATAGGCCAATGAATCAAGTAAGGCCTCAGAATGCACAGGACCATGTCATACAACAACCCTATTATGAACCTAACATAATACATCTAAGGCCTAGAGGGCCTGGTCCTCCTTTTCCTTACTTCCAACCAAAAGTTCAAGGAGGGAGACAACAGCAGCAACATTTAGACCCTCAGGTTAAATAATAGGCAGCAAATAATGAACATCACATAAGAAATGTATGGTCCAGGATTGAGAAGGCCAGATAGACCAATGTTTAGGAGTCCTTACCCTTCATGGGTGAAAACAACTCCCATTCTAAGAAATTATAGGATTCCTGAGTTTACTTTGTTTATAGGAGAAGAGAGACGGTCAACTATAGAACATGTAGGCAGGTTCATTCTTCAGTGTGGAGAACCTGGTTATGATGATAATTTAAAACTAAAACTCTTCCCCCATTCTCTGTCAAAAGTGACATTTACATGGTCTATTAACTTGCCAGAAAATTCTGCCCATACTTGGCAAGAAATGGAGAGTCAATTTCATGCCCAGTTCCTTAGAACTGAGCTTGAAGTGACAATAGTGGATTTGTCAAAATTTAAGCAAAGGTAGGGAGAAAGTGCAGAACAGTACATCGATAGGTTTAAAAAAGAAAAAAATAGATGTCATGAGTACATGCCTGAAATAGAAGTTATAAGGTTAGCCCAGAATGGTTTAGACTTTGAACTTAGGAAAAAGTTTGAAGGTATGATGTTTAGAGACCTGTTTGAGTTGTCTTCAAGGGCAACTAGTTATGAGGCCATTCTTAGAGAAGAGCAACAGAGAAATGCAGCCTCATTAGGAACTTATTATCAAGAAGTTGAATTTGATATGGATATCGATATAGATGTTGTTCAAGTAATAGGTAAAAAACCTGTGATTTGTGAAACATTAAAGAAAGCTGACAAACCTGTAAGTATGCCAGCAACACAGCCAGCCAAAAAGAATGTGACTGTATCACATAGGCAGTATTCTTTTGATATATCAAAAGCAAATGCACTATTTGATGAATTATTAGCAAATAAATTTTTAACTTTGACTCCAGGCCACAACATTCCCAAAGAAAGGGACAGGGTTGGCAAAGAGTATTGTAAGTGGCATAATTCTTTCAGGCATTCCACTAATAATTGTGTTACATTTTGCAATTGTGTACAGGATTTGATTCAGAAGGGAATGTTGAAGTATGCTAAAAAAGATAAAGGGGTTATGGCAGTTGATGGTGATCCATTTCTCAATATTGGGGAAATTAATATGGTATTAACTGATTTTCAGTCAAATGATCAAAAGAAAAAGGGAAAAGACCCTAGAGTTCTCTTGGTAGAGTTAGAAAAACTTCACAAGGAGAGAATGGAAAAAATGGCAAAGGAAACAAAAGGGAAAAAAGTTCAGGAAGAACCTAGTGAGAGTTTCGTTTGTTTTAGGTGTGGTACTCATAAAGAAAAGGCTAAGGCCATTGTGATTAATGGAATTCAAAAAATTGGAAAAGATGTTGGCCTGAGGTTTAACACTATGGGTAGTGGTGATTTGCAAATTTTTGATAATGATTGTATGGTCTATGATGGGACAGATCCAGGAATATTTGGTCCCGCAGAGAATTATGGCAAGGATGATGCTCTATTTTTATTCCAAGGAGCTCCTGTTCATCCATGTTTTGGTGGATCAAGCAATGTCAGGGCTATGCTCAAGCAATACAAGGGTGCTAAATCCTATGGAAGTCCAAAGGTTGTGACCAGGCCATACGGTGGCCAACAACAGCAGTCTGGTTTGTCATACAGTGGTCATTAACAGGTGGGAAGGCCATATGGAGGG